TTTTAGAATTAAAGAACTTGAAAAGATTATTGAAACTGTCATCTAATGAATTACTAAAATTCAGGATTAATAAAGAGAAACATCGTCAACATTATATGTTACCTTTTGTAATATTCTAAATCTTTTTACATATTCAATTTAAAGTCTTTTATTACTGCGATAAAAATTAAAATTTTTCTCAATGTAAACGTATGTTACGGATAATTTTATGTTGATTAAATCTTACAACTTCTCAAATGTATTATAGGTTTGTAAAAAAAATAAGCTTTTATGTAAGAAATAGCACATGAATTAGATTAAATTATTGGGAAATTGTATATGGAAAATGACTCGTTACCAGAATAAATCGTTTATTTATTATTACAAAATATAGTCTTTGATTATAAATAAGTTAACAAATTTAATAAACATATTTTAAGCGACATAATGAACAATATTTTGTTGTCTTTAAGAAAGGATTTTGTTAAAAGATAAAATGTTTTTAAACTAAAATATTTGTAATGATAAATTTCTCGACACTATAGCTTCACAAGGACTTTTGAGTACATGTCGCCGTATTATGCAATTTTATAAAATTATTATCAGTATATATAAATCTTTTAATCCACAGATAGTTGGGATGCACTTTATCAGCATTAAATTCAATTCAATTCTAGTCTTATTTAACATTCAATTTTGATGTTTTGCTTAAGAAAATTCATTATCGTTGTTATATTGACACTTAGAAAATCGTTACATTTTTGTCCCTTTCAGAAAAACCGTGTAAAAATGTTGGCATTATTTTTAAAATAGTTGCGTAATTAAAAATAATCTTCAAGGATTTTTTTCATTATAATATGTATTTAAGCAAATTAGTGTCGTTGCGCAAATTCGACGACATTCAAATAAATAGGATATTACGTAGAAATGATGGAAGAACGAACACTGAAGGCATCTGGTATAAAAAGTTCTTTAATTTTGATAAAAGTAATACAGAACAATATTGATTAAACGGTAAAGTAACTTTAGTCCTGCATTTTTACAAAGCCTTTGTAAATGTACGGCTCGTTAAAGAAAGAAGAGTTATAGTTTCGTTACAGTCTCAAAGTAAATGTATTTCTGCTCGCTGACAAAATGTCTCGCAAAATATCGCATACAATTTTTAAAAATTAACCTTCCCTCATATTTGATTTAAAATACAACATTTCTTATATATTCACAGAGATTGCTTTCATTCCTAGTTCATAAAAAATTTATTTATAACTCTTTTACTTATTTAATAAGTTTTAGAAGATACTTTCGCTCATCAGCACCGAAATATATCTCTGAATTTATAATACATGTAGATAAAATCGCTTATGATCGCTATGGATTAAATGTACCGAACTTGATTCATTTGCAGCTTAATCCCTTTGGGTTCGAGTCTTATTATATAATCGACCGCGACAAATACCTTAACTATAATGTTTTTAAAAATCTATAAAGAATTTTCAATTCTGTATATTCGACGATGAAGGCAACGAGAATAATACATACTCCAACGATATAAAACTTAACGGAATTCGTTCGTTACATTTTCGTCATATCGAGTGTGCGCAACGCGTTGATACTTTTACATGGAAGTATATAGATTGCAATCAATGTAAAATCTGGAAATTTTCTAATTAAAGCCAGCATTCGTGTTATTCATTGTCCGATTCGAAGTTACAAACCTACGTTAAGTACTCGCTTTCGTATTGTAAAGGCCAATAAATCTCGACAATTGCTTTAGCACATTTTAAAGATCAAATTCGTATCTGAGCTCAACGCTGTTTCTAGATCCGCAGCTTTCAAATTGCACATGACAAATAAACAAGGAATAAACGTCAATAATAATCGAAGCCACTTGGACTCGATCAGCGCATTGACTAATCGCTCGTTTCATTCACTAACGTCGCGCTAGCAACGACGTCGACCCAGTTGCGAACCACATTCGGCACACTTTGGACCACGGATGATCGTATTTATCGTTATTTGCCTCCTCCTCTAACTCCCCTTACCACTAGTCCCTTATTTCTTCAGGTTGTCCTCCTCGGGATGCGCGGCTATCCACTCGAGGGCCTTGAGGATGGCCTCGGGTATGGGTGGCGCGACGGGCAGGTGTGCACCCTGGGGCTGGAATCCGTTCTCGTCCGCGGTGTAGCTAAGAGATATCGGAGTGCCGTCGTCGGCTTGGTAACTATAGCTTCCGCGCACAGAGGCGATGCCCTCCTCGGCACCGGGCTTCAACTCGCCCTGCTCCTCCGCCTTAATGCCGTTGCCCGTCTCGAAGCTGAAAGCATACGAGCCGTCGGGGTTGGGGCCGTCGTTACTGCTCCTGAGGATGGGGATCGGCTCGTAGGCCGCTTGACGTTGGACGAGGACGTGGCTTTTATCAATGAGGATAGCGGCTGAGCTGTAGGCCACCATGATTAGGAAGCCGATCGATGCGAGGGCGACCTGAAACGTGAAATAATAGCTTTTGTTATTTATTAAACACTTGGAGACGATTGTCGCAATGCCGTGCGCTTATCATCTTATAATAACAGAGTTTTTTTTTATGCTCGTAAGGGATGTGAGATACTTTGTAAAAAGTGCCTTATCTGACGATCATAATTGAAGTGGAAAAAATATTTTAACAATTATCGTGTTGTGATGTAAAACTGCACCAATTATCCTTAAGATTTGTAAAAATAAGTTGAAAAGTACGTTTGAATATTTTAAGAACGAAAGAAATTCCCGATGTATAATATTGAATAGGAAAGAGAAAAATGGAATAAGCACACAATGCTAAATAGGTAAAACTTATTTACTTCACCTTTCTCGCTCTCTCGCTCGCTCTCTCTCTCTCTCTCTCTCTCTCTCTCTCTCTCTCTCTCTCTCTCTATTAGCAACCAAACGTTTTCCCAGGCATAAACGATAATAAATTAATTGTAATTTATTTTTCAGCCAGTTCAAGCTCATCAACCATCAGTTTATATACAAATTCTTATATTCCCATAGGTAAATTTCTCCCCCAATGCGTGTCGACAACATATGCGCGGCTCTTCGAAAATAAACTGTGAGCATTTGTTTCGATTAGTATTCAAAGAGAAGACATTGCACAACTCAAATATATATATATGAAAAATTTGAAATTCGCTCCGAACGATAAATATCTTAAGGCTGTAAGAGTTTCTAAATTCTTCGATACGCACAAGACTAAAGAATTAATCCCTAAATGTATGTTGGTAATAAAGCATAATTGTTGCATAAAAAAAAGTCATATCACGCTACGACATTACACTTAAATTGAGTACAAATAACTTTTCTAAAAAAATGCCATTGTTTACTTACTTATATAATCATTTAATGTACTCTTTTTAATACTTTGCATTACGACATGTCAAATTATCGTTAAAATATTTAGATATTTGGATCTTTAATGGACGCAATAATTTAGTAAACTATCCATTTATAGTTGATTTACTACGCATTCTTATTTTTAAATGTAAAGTTTAATTATTTTTACAGCCTAAAACGTATTATATTTTATGCAAATTCATCTTTAACAATTTATGCAGTAAATATGAACTTTAATTACTTATTTATAATAAGCATTAAAATTACAATATTCACACATAATAATAATTATAAAGATATTAGTGACAATCATAATGTTTATACATCGATATCAGTGTGTTTATAAACCTTCACTTTCATCATATAATGAATTTTTTAATAAAAAATAACTTCTCTATAACCATTTATCGCTTGTTTTTTTTTTTTTTTTTTTCTTTTTTTGTAATTCTTTTACAAAAAGAAACATACACATGCAAGAGATAATATATAAGAATTATAAAGCTATTTAAGATAAATAATTAATAATTTAATCTCCACTGTCAATTGCATTGACATAAATATAAATGAAAAATTGTAATTAAAAATTATGAAAAATACGATTCTAATGAAAGGAACAATCGAATAATGTAACGAGTTAATTCTTATTTTATAATATAAATCGATTTATATTAAATGTGTGTGCGTGTATATATATATATATATATATATATATATATATATATGTATGTATATATACACTGAATACACAGCTTTTTATGTAATTTTTGCACCGTACATATAAAAGGGATCAGCACCAAGTTTGTTGAAGTACATGTCACACTAATTGAAAACTGAGCTAATCACTCTAATAAAAGAGCGACTTTTCACACCAACTAATGCAGAACGAACGTCGCCGATATATCATTACTCACTAGTCAATGTAAGCGACATGAATGAAAGACTTGGAGAGCACAAACCAATTTGGGATCTTCGATAAATCGGCACCACCTGTAAAAGTAATCAGCAACTGTCGTCGAACAATCAATCACTTCTCTCCACGCAATTTCTCAACAGTCCACCGCAGCTTACAACTTATAATTGAATTGACGGGCAAAACCAAATCTCTCGCGTATTCACCATCTTTTATCTCGCTATATTTTAGACACAGACGACACAATTTACGCGGGATCGTTGACTTACCATGATCGTGTGTTGATATACCAGAGCCGGGCACGTGAGTTCTTTTGATATTGCGGTCCCAGCGCGAAGCCGCGGCTTTTATATAATCACGAAGATACAAGGGGTCCCCCTTTTACACATGGGCCCCGCCGGATTTACGGCTGTATAGGTGACTGCGTCGACGTCGTTTTTTCGTACGGGAGCTCGCGTGAATGGCTGGATGAGGCGCGCGCGCGCGCGTGTGTGCGTGCTTTTAGGCTGCTGGACATTCTCGACACTTCTTACGACACCGTCAGCCGGGGAACGCGTGCCACCGACGATACCATAACCATTCAGGCCTCTCCCCGAGTTGCCTATTTGGAAATAAATTTCATTGATTTATCGCGCGGCCGAGTGGCTTTCGAACAGATGTGGTAGCGCGCGGATTGACCATTCGGATGTGCTGTAGTTGGGGGCAACCATAACCATCGGACGTGCGATCCGATTCTCTCACGATACTCAGCGCCGATATGCCGTACGAAATTTCTCATGACATAACAGCGCTTTTTCGATTAAGGCCTGAAGGTATTACGTCCTTGTGTAAGTGTTTAAACCTATCATTCTATAATGGGATTATTGGAACAATAACACCAGTTTTGCCTTAGCATTGGCGTGTAAGATATGCTGCACAACATTCGTTAATCATGAATATTAATGAAAATTATTTAATGTGATTATGTGGTTTTTTTGTTCCTTTTACTTTTTTTATCTTTTGTTCTTTTTTTTTTATTATTATTATTTTTTTTTTTGAAATTTATTTATTTATTTATTTATTTATTTATTTATTTATTTATTTCTTTATTTATTTATTTATTTATTTATTTATTTATTTATTTTTTTTTTTTTTTTTTTTTTTTTTTAATCATGGTTTGGTTTAATGTAATGAGGAGTTTTTGAGAAGTAGCGATAAACTAGAAACTGGCATTTGTTTTACGCTTCTTTTACTATTACAACAGTCCAATTACATGAGTATGTGTGCTCATATATTTCATAATAATTATATTAAATAATCAGAAAGAAATTTAAATAAGAATTATAAAATTAGCCAATACGTCAATTTAGGAATTTATTTTAATGCCTACTATATTTCTTAAATTATAAAGTTTCTTCTTTTGTTTAAGACTGTGGACGGTAACATTTTTCCCGAAGATTTTGTCTTCCGTTTCGTGCATCTTTTAATAATTAACATCCCGTTATTTTGTAATTATATAATTCGCGAAACTTTTTACTTATTGTTATTATCCACTTAGAGCAATGGATACATGTACATTTAAATTATAAGAAAATATATGCTTATTTGACAATCAAATAGCTATAAATTTTCCAGATACATTGGCAGATTGGAGTTAGACAACTATCTTTTCGTGTATAATACTCATCGAAAAATACAAACTTTCATCAGAAAAAAAATTGCCTCTATTTATTTAGACGTATAATTTGCATTATGTTCATAGTATTTCACAAATAGTATTTTTAATAAGTGCTTGGCACATGTACAGCTTACATAAATAAATATTTGATTGATATTTTTCAATTATTAAACTAACGTTGCATATATATATATATATATTTAATATATTTAATATATTTAATCATTTAATCATTTAATCAGAAATATATTTAATCATTGTATTATTGTATATTAAATTTAATATTCGTATGAATTTCAAATAGTAACATTTATGTATTCAGAATTTGACAGCATCATTATTATAAATGATAATTGAAGATTATTGATGTAAAATTTTAATTTCAATTCTCAATCTAACGATTTATATATCAAAAAAAAAAAATAATAGACTAATTATATACAATTTACGAAGAAATATAATTCAATGTGTTCCGGAGAGGACGACATGTCATTCACTAATATGTACACCAAAGAGTACTTTTCTCTTGAAACAAATAATACTAAAAAATATTTCTTTTATAGCCTCAATATGTTTATTAATGCTTTTCATTCTATCCATTAAAGAAATAAATTACATTATATTTTAGCGTATGCTTTTGTATTCACAGGACGATTATCGTATTTATTCTAATATTATTATAAAATATTTATTCTAAAATTATTATTTATGAATTATTTATTATCAAATTTTAAACATATTAATCAGAAAAAAACTAATAATTATATATATATACATATATATATATAAACTAATTATAAAAAAAAATCATATTTGTAATCTTTTGAAGGATAATAAAATAAGAAATTAATATACTTATTAAAATTTATAATAGTTGAGAATTATTATAATTATTCATTTTATATACATATAAGAGGATGTTCTTACAATTTTAGAAAAATCTAATGAGTAGTGTTAGTGATATTAATTTTCATTGTATATTTCTATTTATTATTACCAAATTCATATGTTTCAAAAATATTCTTATTTCGAAAATTCACCAAAGACATCTACTATTTTCATAATAAATAGGTAATTATCATTTAATTATTGCATAATGATTATAATTTTACATTTTATATGCATAAAGAATTGAAATTTAATTATTATATATTGCCGCAATCCTTTTTATGATAAATAATAAAAAATATTATGTAATATTATTATATCATTGCAAATTTGTTAATGGACTCTTATTTAACATATTCCTATATATATAAACAAAACTCGGTTTGATATTGGCATTATATTCGTTTCATCACCGATTTTAATTTTATTAGAACATCCTCTGTGTTAGAATGAATTTAATCAAGCTAAAGTTATAAAACAGATACAGAGAGAGAGAGAGAGAGAGAGAGAGAGAGAGAGAGAGAGATACAGAGAGACAGACAAACAGACAGACAGACAGACAGACAGACAGACAAGCAGAGAAAGAGAGAGAGAGAGAAAGAGACAATATTACAGTAACATCCATGATATATGTCGATTATTGTCAAATATAAATATTATGGGCGTTACGGAGAATTAATTGGCCGCATTAAACGTTTTGTAACTTGCTCTCGGTGATTCGCGCCTCTATCGAAAAGGACTTTTTTCGCCTGCAGCACTTTAGCAAGATATATATTGACTGCTAAATGTACATGTATCTTCAGATGACGTGTTGGCTGTGATAAAATCGAAAAAAAGTTCGTTATGCTACATTATGTGAAGAAAATACTATCAATTAATTTAATGGATTCAAAAAGGTATTTTAATGTTATATAATATTATAATAATTAAAATTTCATCTTAGTCATTCTCGTTTATACAATTACCTGATATTCTAAAGTATAATTAATAATATAATATAATAATAGAATCAGCGTATGGTTAGTAAATAAAGTATGTAGTGTTGAAATCGAACGATATGCAATTCAATAAAATGAGATATCCATTGGAATGGATCGATAAAACTTTCTGTAAGCCAAGTAGATGTAAATATTAACAGATTATTATTATATTGTTTACATTATAAAAAAGAATTAATGTTAATTTCAATTTTTATAATTAAAAATAAATTATAAATTATATTAAGTGCAAATAGTGCGCAAATTGATAGATGTAAACGTGTAATAAATCAAATTGTATCAATAAAAATAAACTTATTATATTAAATTAACTGTATTATTTTTTATGTAAGAAAACGTCTTCGTCCGCCTTATTAAATATCATTATACAATCAAAAGAAATACATAACTAATTCCTACTTATAACGCAATGTGTAATCCCTCTTATTTATTTCAATAGGCAGAGATTTGGAAAATAATATAAATATTGATTTCCAAACCGATATTTCCTGTTCTGGTATACTCACATAAGATAACGAAAATAAATTTTAATCCTATTACAGGTATTTAAATTTCTAATCGAGACAATCATTCGTACGTATATAGTACGTGATGATTGCAAGCAAATATGAAGCGTCAATCAATGGTTATACTAATGTATGCATTAAACAGTCATAGTAATGAATGCTTAATATTTGAAATAAAATATTCAATGTTTCGATTATTAGTAGTATTTCAATAATCGATATTAATACTTCAATAGTGGTTTTTAATCAAAGAAAATAAGATAGTAGGAAAGTCGTTGGCAAAATGGTTCTTCAATACTCAAAATTTGTAGGATAAAATATTTTATGCATTTTTCCTGAATCATTATTTTTCAAAAAATATCACGAAGATATAGTAAATATAGTAATGAGAAAATTATTGAATAAATTGAAGAAAGACTCAATTATATTCTCAACTTACGATTTCATTTATCATGTTTAAATGAAATAGTAAGAACTTTATTAAAAACTGTTACATTTTAATTTTATTTTTTGATCATTTAAAAACGATCGATATAGTGATTAATTAATTCATAGTTTCGAATTATTGAACAACTTTGCAATTTACTATTAAAAAATAAATTATGCTAATGAGGGTGCAGTTAAGTACACCGACAATTTTCAAGCGAATGTAATAAATATCCTGTCTATAATAACATTATAGAATATAGAATTTCATGATTATTTGAACATTCATCTTTTAAATAAGTATAGGTTAAAAATTGAAAATTAATGACTATTTCGTATTCTACGTGTATAGATATAGTAAAACGTGAAATTAAATGTAAAAATTATTTACTACTCTCAATATATACACCGTTAAATTTTTACTACATGTATAAAATTTAAAAAATCATTTGTTCGAGATTACATATCGGCAATAAATTTTATAACTTTTTAATAGAGATTGTCCATTATATAACTTTCTTTAGTAGTCTATTACTTATCAATACCTAATGAATGTATTTAAAAATTTCAACAAAAAGTACCTTACGAGATGATGCAATATCTACTTTATTGAATTTTTTCATTATCAAGATTTTCAATAATCTATTGCAATAATAAATATATGAAATTAGTCGAAAATTATTTATACACGTTTTTTATTTTCGTATAATAAGATTCTAATCAATGTTAAAATCTTGGTTTATTTATATTTTTAATTTCATGAAAAGTATTCGTTGAGTTTGATAATTTAAAATTTAAAATTTATTTTCATAAGTTTGTAAAAGATTTTAAGAAATTTAGTATCAAAACACAGAAAAAAAAAATACTTTTCTTAATCAACTTATT